ATGTGGCACAGGTTGAACAGACTCCTGTTTTGCTTGCACAAAGTACGGAATGAAAGATCATGAACTATACAGTTGAACAGTCGGTATCTCTGAGAATGTTTATAATAAATTAATATTGCTGTAAGCATTGTGCTGTTCTTAATTTAATGGGTCTGCATGAAGCAACAATCCCTGCGAGCTCAGATTATTTCAAGTCTCAGTAGGTTTTTAAAAATGAATTGCTCTGATACTGTAACTAAAAGCATGGGTGATCTCTGCATTCCTTTGGAAGAGATCATTTGAAAATTCAGTTATGGCCATCTAAATGTACTTAGTATTTTCAAACACCTTGGACTCCTGTGCATACACCTATGTTGTATCAAATGAATGGGATCCAGAGTTTGCTTCTGCCAAAGCACAGGACATCACATTCTCTGAAAAGTAGAGGGGTGGGTTATCAATCCCCCCATACCTCAGTGTGTACCTTGTGCATGTTCAGAGGATTCCTGAACCTTCTGGCTCAGATTTGCACATAGCATAGGCAATCTCAAGGGAAGGATCAATTAGCAAGGTTCATCAACCCTAATTCAAAAGTCCTCCTGGGAAGGCTTGGTGTGGATTCAAGCATTTTGCTATATGGTGTGTCCTTGTTTACAACAGAGAGAGTCTAGTTTTTCATCCTGGGAGGTGTGCTTTATATATATATAAACATATATATACATAAGGTGTGCTAATATATTAGTCACCTTATAATTGTAGCAGTATATCCAGTGATGTAGTAATGTCACTGAAGGAATAGAGCTGGGAGTTTCTGGCCTGTTTCTGTTTTGCTTTGCTAAGACTTCCACTCTTATTTCCACTAAAAATAACATCAATGAAAATGTGTTCGTTTTATTATCAAATGTTAGCAAGATCTTGGATGCTCTGGGTTGCAATTGACCTTGGGGTGGGGTGGGGCTTTGGATTGCCAATGCCAACTATATAGGCTATCAAAAAGAAAAATACTGCATACTACAATTCATTCTGTCTGGGTCTGCCTTTGAAGAGTGCCCCAAAGTTGGTGCAAAATGGAAAGTTGCTGGTAGGTGAAAGCTAACATATAGCACCAGTTGTGGGAATGGTGCATTAGCTTCCAGTAAGCTTCTGAGTATAAAGTGCTTTGTGGGTAGAACTACCCCTAGTGTCTTCATCCCAGATGGAAATGTGGAAAGTACCAGTTGCCATGGGGGAGGATGTACATGCTATCCTTTACCATTGGAGATCTGAATGGTGGCTTCCCTGACGGCATTCAGTAGGACAATCAAAACTGAGCTCTTCCACAGAGCTCTTAATCAAAATTGTATTAACTGACTTTTGAAGAAATATGGTCACTTAATATAGATGCTACAGTTAAGTTGTGATGTGTGTTGGTTATAAGTTACGAATTTTATGAAAGTTTTTTTGCTAATTGATGGGAGTCTGTAGCATTGGCAATACAGTATATGAATATTGTAAAAGAATGCTAAGTTGTAAAATAAAATGGATACTTGGTTAAGAAAGGGAGGAGGACATGGAAAGCCCTAATAGTAATGAACAAAACTTTCACAACAGCAGCTCAGTGTATGGTTCTCAGTTGTTGCTTTGTGTGAGATGAGTGATCATATAAATGTGATATATAAATAAATGAACTGATGCTGTACTGCCTGGGAGTTTACTTGCTTCTGCTAGCTGGTGTGCTGCTCAGCACAAATGCTTTAACTCAGCACAAATGCTTTAATGGAAGCTGGCTGTTAGGAGTGCCCCTGAATAAAATCTGTTGAAAACAAATTCATACATCTTGATTAAACAGTGCAACAAAAAGCCTAGTTGTCCCAAATTCTTCCTGTGGTTCCTTAGGACAGTCCATAAAAATACCTTCACCAAGCATGCTGAAATATAATTGGTGTTTCTTGCTACACTTCAGAAGCCTGCTAGTGAAGAAATGGTGCCAACAGTCTGAGCTTTGAGGTACTGCTGGAGCTCAAATTGTATTAATTCAGAATTATGTTTTGTAATCAGTTGTGTAATAAAACCATATCTTCATAGGATAAAGTTTTATTGCTTGATCAACATTCTTAGCTATGCATATATAGCATGTTACATGTTTCTAAGGCTTTCCTGCTACCAGGAAAGATGGTGTTGACTTAATATTCAGTTATGTTAGGCTGCTGAATCTCTGAAACTAAGTTATTCTGATTCCCATTGTTATGGGAGATCCTCTAAATCTCTCTTTACATTTTGTTCCGTATACAAGTTACAGCTTTAATTTTGCACTATAGAACAAGCTGTTGTTAAGAATTTATCCACATTTCACCCTGTCTGTTCATTAGCAAAAAGTTCTAATTCCAGTCTCGTTGCTAGGCCCAAAATGTCAAGTTCGGGGATAATAACTTCTTTATTATTGAATTTAGACTGTCTTTTTGTTTAATATGGTGTCAACTGTGCCCATTTTTCTTTCTCAAAAAAGCTGAGCATATGGATTAGATGGAACAGGCTGTAGATTTCTGTAACTATTAAGAGGAAAGGGTTACCATCTTCTGGTGTGGCATCCTGAGTAATTTGAAATGGAGCTGCCTGTGAAGGCTTTTGTCCTGCCGACTTAGTTTCCTGGAATAGACATTGTCAGGACGCTTATTTACGGGGAAGAGAAGCAGCGTCTTGTCTCCAAAAGGACCGGGGGATTATTTTTGAAAGGTTTCTGCCGCCGACCTTCGGTTTATTTCCTTTCTTGCATTGTGACTATTCTCAGCAGCTGCGGAAACGGTGATGGAAGCTTCAAGTTCAATTCGTGAGGCTTTTTCTTGAGCCTGGCTTGAACTAAAGTCAAGAGGGCTGATTCTTTAGTCAGGGCTTAACTCCATGCTTTTAAGTCCATCCGGTAAAGCAAAAACTGTGCTGAAAAGACGAAATTCTTCATATCTGTGGAGCCAATCCTGTCGTGAACATTCACCACTACTCGCTACTCACATCAAATGCAACTTGATTCCTAGAGTAATTCCTCTTAGGTTCGGGCAGGGCTTGTAAAAAGCCCAGTGCCAGCAAGAACTCATGGAAGCTGGATCCTAGAGACAGTCCCTTGGAAGTCAATCCGAATCATCACAGCCTGCAATCCAAGGCCTGTTTAGCTGCAATCCAGATGCAAAGGGTCTTACCACCACCAACCCAGAGAATTTATTTCTAATTTAAGCCGCAAGAGATTTTCAAAGACCCAGAGGGCTTGTGTGTATCCAAAGGGAGAGGGGGAAACACCCCCCAAAACTGTGTTTTTGTAGGACGAGACCTCCCCCCCCTTAAAAGGAAGACCTGCGCTGAGCTAATGCCCCCTTTGCTCCCAAACCAAATAGTTTTGCAAAGAAGAAAAAGCTGGTCATCACTCAAGAAGCAAATCTGTCCTAACCGCCCTTCCTCTCCTTAAACTCCTTAACCCGGGTGGATCCCATCTGATCTTTTTTGTACCATAAAACCTTGGCGAAGTTAAGGAGGGTCAGAGAGCACACACGAAGCTTCCCCGAATTAGAAGGGAAAGGAGTGAAAGTGCAAAGTTGGAGGCTTCGTGCTGCTCTGTTTCACTGCTGCTGGTCTGCCGACTTCTCTTCATCCTGACTGCCTCGTGTGGTGGCTCAATCCCCTCGCTTGCTTTTAGGCTAGACAAATCGGAGTAATTTGTGCCGGTAGCCTGGGTCTTATTTTTCCAAAGGGGATGGAGAGTCTCCTGGTTCCCCATTTAGGCAACCACGGTAGGAGGCCCATCTCGCCCCCCCCAACTTCCAGGAGAAAGCATTATGCTCTCCTCCCTGCTGTCCATTTCTTTGGCAGTAAGGCCCAGTGGTGAGCCAGACTTCGCCCTGCGAAAATCTGCCTGGGAGATTGCCAGCAAGGGCTTCAAACAAGGCCCTTGTTTAGGGCTATCACATTGGGGCTGCACAAATCCGAACGATCACCCAACAGTAAGAAAGAGCTAGAGATGCCTGCATCTGTTTGCTGCCGTCTAGGGTCGACCGTTTTTTGCAGCCCTGATATGGTA